TATTATGTTTAATGTATGTACCAAATTTGAAAGAAATCCGTCCATGCATAACTGAGATCCGGGTCCGGAATGGTGAAAATGTGCGATTTCAATGCATTTTCGGCCTTAAAGCGGCCGCCATTTGGCTATTGTTAATGAGATCATGAAACAAATGCACATACATATTTGTGACAAGATGTACCTTGTGTGTGTGAAGTTTGAACTCGATCAATCCAAGCATGTCTCAGATACGGATCCAGAACTGAATTCTTTAAAACAAAATGGCCGCCAGTCGACCATTTCGAACCCGATCCCAAAAAAAAAATGACGTGCATCAAGGTCCTATTATGTTTAATGTATGTACCAAATTTGAACAAAATCCGTCCATGCATAACTGAGATCCGGGTCCGGAATGGTGAAAATGTGCGATTTTGATGCATTTTCGGCCTTAAAATGGCCGCTATTCGGCTATCGTTAATCGGATCATGAAAAAAATGCATGTGCATATGTCCCATATAATGTGTGATGTATGAGTGAAGTTTGAACTTAATCGGTCCATGCATGTTCGAGATACAGGTGATCACGGACGGACGGACGCACGGACGGACGGACGCACGGACGCACACAGGGCAAAACATAAGTCCCCGTTTTCGGACTGCGTCCGAACGGGGACTAACAAATCAAAGAGAGGTCCTCTCGAGGTGTATAACATCAAAGCAATCGGACACATGGATTTTAACAAGAAGTCGAAATTACAATTTTTCACCAAAAACGTCAAAAATATATAAAATATAAAAAAAATATCATAATTTGAAAATTAAAGATATCATCATGAAATAAACAAATCTGAGAGAGGTACACCTGAGGTGTAATTGGATTTGTGGTTTTTAACAAATATCTCTTTTTACCAAAAATGCCAAAAATATTCATTAAAACTAGAATTTAGGGCCACACACTGCTTAACACTGAATATTCAGCAAGTTATATAACGACAAAGAACAAGAAAAAATACGAATCACAAAATATATATGTAACACATGACTGGTATTATGCAGATATCGACCTTTCATATTTTACAAGTGCAATGTGAGTTCAACAAAGTGACAACAGCAACAAATGCTCAGTGTGATGTTTGGTTATAAATCTCTCAAAGTCACTGGGAGTTGTCTTCAAGGATGTCTTCAAGGACATTTATCCAAAGACAAATGATAATACAAGTATTTTCAACATCAGCAGACTGCTGGCATGATGAAAGTCACATGGTACAAAAGTTCAAGAGCAAAGTGAAATGAAAATAACAACTCAAAAACAGAACAGCATGATATGCTATGTACAATACAGGGGAGTATTGAAACATTGTACAACTGTGGGCACAAGCTGCTTACTGTCAGTTATCGTGCAGTTTGAGCCTTTCTTGCGAGAGTTCCCTGTGGATATTTTGTTTAATTGTATGTGACTAATCTAGCGAAGGATTCAATCTGGTAATGTCTCTAATAAAACAAAATTTTGTCACAATAATACCAAGAACTAAAATTGAATAATTTGTAATTTCAAAAATGCATTCAGTTGTTTTTAATTATGAAATATGATATCTTACCATTTGGAATAGCGATTCCTATTATAAGTGTAAGTATTACTATAAACACTGTGATCCCTTTAAATCTATTAGATGGAATGTGTTCATGTCCTCCACCGGGATTCTCCAAAGATACTCCCTGTGAAACAAAAGTAGTTATTTAATATACATGTTGGGGGCGCTGTTAGTCCATCAAAAACAAAAGTAATCATTCAGTAAATATTAAAATGATGAATGATGAGGGCGCTGTACACAGTATACGATATATCCTATATTTTATTGAAGTAACTCATGTTCTTAATGTATCGTCCTCATGATCTGAGTAATTCAAAACATTCAAAATTAAGAAGATAAGAAGCAAAGTCATGAAATTTTTAGAGTCATTCAATCTTAGGCAGATTATTTCAATCAATGATATAAAAACGAACAAATTATTTCAATTACAACATTATTGACCAATTCGGACTTCTTTAAAATCTGTATTAGAAGGCTTCCATTAAATGGTACAATGCAACAGAGGGGATGCGGCTTCTATTGGAGCATCTACACATATGAGAAATGATGAATATTTAGTTCTCAATTGTTCAAAAAGAATGAGTGCGACTTCTATTAGGGGTACTGCTTCTAATACAGATAGTTTCTTTATTTTTATTTTTCAATTTTGGTATCCTACCCATAATAATGAAAACATAAAGAGACATTATATTCAATTTTGGTATCCTACCCATAATAATGAAAACATAAAGAGACATTATATTCAATTTTGGTATCCTACCCATAATAATGAAAACATAAAGAGACATTATATTCAATTTAGCTGAAACCTCTTCAACATTGTTGAGTTAGCTAATGATAATGAGCGCTAAAATCAGAATTCAAAAATACATTCAAGTTCCTTCACTTTTGTCAACACAACAAACAAACAACTCTGAATAAAATATGGAAAGTGACAATCAGGAAGGAATGAATGAAAAAAAACACTTTTCAATATTGCAAAGTTTTGAAATAATGACACACGCACCTCGGATCCCGATAGAAGTGTATTGATACTCGCTCTGCAGGGAAATATCATCATGGGAAAACTGAGCACAACAGAGACAACGAAACCTAACTTCAAGAGGTCATTTACAAAAGATGTCTTGAAATTCATCAAAATATCTCCTTTGATGCCTTGTTCACAGAAAGCAACGTAACCAAAGAAGCCAACCTGTAAAACAGTTTATTGATACTGTGATGTGATCACCATTGCTTGATGGAATCAACTTTGTAGTACATATATACACACAGTTTGAAATAGCCATTTGTAGAAAGTAATTCAAAGAATGACTCTCTGTCATATTTGTTAGGAGTAATGGTAATGAAAAAACTCACAAAATCATAGTTTTTTGAAAATTTTCTTGAAATTAACTTTTAATGAAGTTTCTAGATTGCATCGATCATTGTTTAAGTTCTGGAAAAAGAGGGGAGGGGACCAGTTTCTTGAAATAGCAACTATTTTTCACCCTTAATTAACACTTTGAGTTGATTTTGTACAGTCTGCTTCTGCACAAAACTATGCCATGGAAAGCTGTACACATAATTATAGAAAAAATTATGCACACAAAGTTATGGCAAAAAAAATTGTGCAGAAAATTTGGGTATGGCAGGGAAAATTATGCACAAAACTAAAGCAGAGAAAATTATACACAAAATTATGCTGAGAAAATTTATACATAAAATTATGGCGAGGAAAATTAGTACATTTGAAAAGTATAGTGATCTGAGAAGATAAATTGTAACTTACCATAATGTAACAAAATGTTACCATATTGACGGCTCCCTTTACAACGTCATTCATTTTTCTTTCTGTCCTGTCAGGTAATGACTCATAAACTACAAATACTTGTCTGAAATAAACAAAATAATATCACCATTAGTAAAAAACAATGAACATACACCCACATATCTCCACACAACAATGTTGGCTGAAATTTGAGGAGGGAGTGGGGGGGGGGGATTGTACCTGAATATACATTCTAAATTGAAACTGATTTTGCATGAAGGACAGGTTGTCCGAACAAAATTTTTTTTTTTAATTTTACAAGATCTGACCAACCTAAAAATAAATTTTTGTTCAACTCTCGATAACATGGCCTGACAAAGTCGTGAGAGTTGCTCCCTCCGTGGTGCTCCAAACCAGACACACGCCTGACAGAACAATGTTACATTAGTTTTTCACTACCCTGACGATTTTTTGACAATACCAATCAAATTGCAGGAACGGCAGATTGTGACAGATATCAAAGCGTAACAAATCATGGCAGGGTCGCGTGAGTTGCCCCCCCCCCCCCCCCCCCGTGCGATGTTACCATGACAACCAAAATGAATATTCATTGAAACTTATTGCAAGAAAGTGTGATCTGTGCGTATTTCGCAGTATTGATCTTGTCGTCGAGACATACATTAAGCTGTCAGGCGTTAGTGAGATCTGATGCCGTTCGACTGGTGAGGGCGCCACTCACACCTACATGCCAGGCTATCGATAACAGGGTCAATCATAATAAAACAATGTACATCTTACAAACAGGGTTCAACCCAATAGATGATACAAGTAATTTGATTGGGTGCTGGTTTTGAAAGATTTGATATGGTTAGATCTTCATGGGCCAAACAAAGAGCTTACCGGTATTTTAATGAACTTTCTAATTTTACTAAGCAGGGCTTTTTCATGATTCAAGAATACAATTAAATTTTGATGAAAGGCAACAAAACCGCACTTCATTAAACATATCTCAAAATACTTGATAACTAGTTTTGATAACTAGAAAATAACAGTAGAGCAAAGTGTAGCTACTTACGTATGACAAACAAATGCCAGTGCAAATATAGATAGGCATTTAAAAAGCCCTTCGGGTCTCCAGTATCTGGCGTAGGAAACCCAGGAAAACGACAGTAATGTAGGAAAACTTATCAAAACAATCTAATGAAGAAAAACAAACCAAATGTGAATATTCTTCACAAAAGCTAAATCTATAAATATAAATGCTGTATTTGCTTTGCATGCACTTACATAAATAGCAGAAGGGTGTCTATGGTCAAAATAAGTAATATTTTAATAATTAAACATACAATAAATGCAACTGTTGGCTTCCAGCTGTTACACGCGTTTCTATTGGAGATGCACATTTAACAGAGCAATGTACCAGAAACAGTAAATGTGTTACTTGGGAATTTCATTCAGCAGGTGTATAGTTCACACGCCAGCTGTCGCACAATTATTGAAACTCACCCAAGTATAGAAATCTGTCTCTATAATTTCATAATTCTTGAATCAACAAATGTGTACAATTACATTTATTTATTTTAGAAATTATACAAATGTGTGATAATCTTTTGTGGACTTTGAGGTTTTTAATAATTCAGCAACAGTGCTGCTTTGAAAATGAACAAAATAATTAAAATGAACAAAATAATTAAAATGAACAAAATAATTAAAATGAACATTTCCAGTTTATCCACAAAACATTTTGTTAAACATATATTACAGTGAAAAGTGAACATAATTCTTAAACCATTGGGATGCATATTTTTGGATTAAATCAACATTTTGGACACCTTATGTATTCGTTTATAATTTCTTTTTTCAAACAGACATTTTTCTTTTAAATAAGGAAGACATTATGCATGTATATTTTGTCAAAGATGATAAAATATAGAACAATTATAATGCAACATAATAATAACATACACAGTCAGTTTTTATGCAGTTAAAATTTCATTAATGCCATTTCAGAAAGAATGATGCAAATCACTTTCATCATTTAGGCTAAACCTCATATTACCGTGGGTATAGGTGCATGTAAATAAATAATTACATTTGTTGTGTTCTATCATTTAAATATGATTTATTTTGAACATAGATACACCACCGTTTTTTATGTGAATGCATGATATACTCAGCTTGCTAAATCCCAAGCTGATTTGAGAAAATATGATAACTGATGGAAAGCGATAATCGTGCAAGGTAATTCATGTTGGCATAGCAACTCATTTATGTTTGAGTGATCACATTGTATTAAACCCACCTGTGCAATCAATACAGTATAAAATGACAAAGACAAGGCACTTATACTACTCAGCTGTTCTACTCGTCGTAACATCCCTAGCGGCATCACTACACATAGTGAAAGTATTATTAATAGTCCAGTTCGTAAACTCCATGAGTTCTGAAAGAAAAAAGTATTTCAAACAAATTTATTATTATTTGAACATGTGTGTGCATCATTAATGAAATATTATCATAATCCATAACTTATTTTACAAATATTTGGGCAGTGGGCAGCTTTTCATTTTTATTATGAAATTGTCATTTTTTATTTAATTTATTTTTAAATCTAAAAAAAAAAATAGCTGTTACAAGCGCCTTTTAAGCAACATATTAACTGCACATGTTTTTAACTACATCCCATGAACCACATAGTGATTCATTCAAATTGAAATATGGCAGCAAATCACAGTCCTAACAAATATTTATTAAATACATTTAAATAACAGAAAGCCATCAAAGATGACAGATCCCCTCACATTGTTTCACAAGAAATTGGTAGAGGTTACTGTTTTGATTGCTGGACTGTTGTATGCCAGCTACTGTAACTGAATATAGCTAAATGTAGTACACATCTCAATTGGGGAGTGTAGATAAGGGTGGGATTAAAATAGCTATTTTAGGTATGGATAAGTCATATAGGCTTTGCCTGTCTGTGTACATGACAACATTGGTGTATAGGCAAGACTCTAACACCACAGTGGAAACAAAAGGGTATGTGTGGAGAGAGCGTATATTTCACGATTTTGGCAAAATAACTTTCTGCAAAGATTACATACTATTTACCTTTGACAACATGTTTGAGTTGTTATGTCTTCATTTTTTAATAGAATTGGGATCATTTCTGATATACTTATACTGGCATGGCAACCATTTTGAATTTTGCCCAGTATTCCCAGTGCCAAATTCAATATCATGGTAATAACATTATCCCTTTTACTATCACTACCTCTTGGTACCATAATCTCAAAATAATTGCCAGTTGATGGTTTTGATAACTACACAACAACATAATTTCCCCTTCCTTGATTTGAAGACAAATAGTCATTATACTATATTCTGAATATACCTAGACACAAACGTCTTAAAGCAAATAACCATCAAGAAAAAATACATACCTCGAAACCAAACCATTTAGAAACAATGGATGGACCTAGATCTCCAATAATAACATAGAAAGCTACACAAGTTCCTATCAGCAGACCAATAATACTATAAAACACAAAAGACATGTATGAAAACAACTTACTGTGAAGGTAAATAGGTCATGATGACCAAAGTATTTAATATGGTGCTAACTGTGTACAAGACAAAACAAAATGGTGTAAAACCTTAATAAAAATCTTACCTTGTCTCAACTGCTAATTTACCAACACTTCCAAAAGAATGTAATGCTGAATCCAAAAAAATGAAATGTGATGATTAGTACTTGAATGGTGAGAATGCCGAAAATTTATGAATTAATATTGCAAATTAGGTAATTTAATATAAACATAAAACAAGCAGCCTGTCAGCTGAGATAGCTCCGCTGTTAGTACTGGGGTTTTTAACAAGAAGTCGAAAATATAACTTTTTACCAATGATGTCAAAAATATTCACCAAAATTAGAGAATTAAAGATATCATCATGAAATGAACAAATCTGAGAAAGGTCCACATGTAGTACCTATATATGTAATATCAAAGCAATCGAACTTACGATTTTTAACGAGAAGTCTAAAATATAACTTTTCACCAAAAATGTCAAAAATATTCACCAAACTTAGAAAATTGAAGATATCATCATGAATGAACAAATCTGAGAGAGGTCTACCCAAGGTACATATACACCAAGTATCAAAGCATTCAGGCTTGTAGTTTTCAAGAAGAAGTCGAAAAAGTAAAACATTGACACGGACGACAGCGACGGACAATCACTCATATAATAAGCTCTGCTTGACAAAGTTGACAGCGGAGCTAAAAAGATGAAAACCATGCAGTTACCCTCAATTCAGCAGCTCAATACGAAGGGTAAGAAATACTGAATATTATTGGTGATTAATTCAACTAAAACTAACACTATAAAAGTATCAAAAATAAAGTATGAGTAGCACTATCTATATTTTCTATCATATGTATTAGTGTTGCTTAGTTTAAGTACATATACTATACTATACTTTACTTTACTTTACTTCTAATTTTAACAGCACTGGCAAGTTGGTCCAACAACTTTTTATCAGGGCCACTAACTTTTAAGGTTGGTAGCCCTGGTGACTACCACATTATTTGTGGGAATTTATTTCACTGGGGTGGTTATCATAGAAGGTAGTGGTTATAGAGGGTGGTGGTCATGGTGGGATGTGGTTATAGAGGGTGGTGGATATAGAGAGTGGTGATCATCATAATGTCATAGAGCACAGTGGTCATGGAAGGTGGTAGACATGGAGGGCAAAGAATACATGCAAATTACAAGTGCATTTATAACTGGTCATAGAAAGGATAGAGAAACAATTAAACTAACAACATACCAAGATATTCATACGATGTTCTTCTGGCTTGCTTGGCTGTTTTCAGCAACAAATTACAGCTGATCCGAGTCAGATATGCACTGACAAGTAATAGAAGTAAACCTAGAACTAAGCCACACTAGAGGCATGGCACGTAATGGAGAGAAAAGATAAAACAACATCAAGTACAGTCAATATGAGATTTAATTGGATAACATACATTAAAATTGTAGACATTGTTGTTGTTTTTTCATCTTAAACTGATCAGCTGTTTTTGTCAGCAGTGAATTATTGCACTATACAGTTATCAGACATGTGATTGACTGCTGTGAAAACACTATTCAGTTATCAGACATGTGATTGGCTGGTGTGAAAACACTATTCAGTTATCAGACATGTGATTGGCTGGTGTGAAAACACTATGCATTTATCAGGCATGTGATTGGCTGGTGTGAAAACACTATCCAGTTATCAAACATGTGATTGGCTGGTGTGAAAACACTATCCAGTTATCAGGCATGTGATTGGCTGGTGTGAAAACACTATCCAGTTATCAGGCATGTGATTGGCTGGTGTGAAAACACTATCCATTTATCAGGCATGTGATTGGCTGGTGTGAAAACACTATCCAGTTATCAGGCATGTGATTGGCTGGTGTGAAAACACTATCCAGTTATCAAACATGTGATTGGCTGGCGTGAAAACACTATCCAGTTATCAGGCATGTGATTGGCTGGTGTGAAAACACTATTCAGTTATCATGCATGTGATTGGCTGGTGTGAAAACACTATCCAGTTATCAGGCATGTGATTGGCTGGTGTGAAAACACTATCTAGTTATCAGGCATGTGATTGGCTGGTGTGAAAACACTATCCATTTATCAGGCATGTGATTGGCCAATGTGAAAACACTATCCATTTATCAGGCATGTGATTGGCCAATGTGAAAACACTATTCAGTTATCAGACATGTGATTGGCTGGTGTGAAAACACTATCCATTTATCAGAAATGTGATTGGCTGGTGTGAAAACACTATCCATTTATCAGAAATGTGATTGGCTGGTGTGAAAACACTACCCATTTATCAGAAATGTGATTGGCTGGTGTGAAAACACTATTCAGTTATCAGAAATGTGATTGGCTGGTGTGAAAACACTATTCAGTTATCAGGCATGTGATTGGCCAATGTGAAAACACTATCCATTTATCAGGCATGTGATTGGCTGGTGTGAAAACACTATTCAGTTATCAGACATGTGATTGGCTGGTGTGAAAACACTATCCATTTATCAGGCATGTGATTGGCTGGTGTGAAAACACTATCCAGTTATCAGACATGTGATTGGCTGGTGTGAAAACACTATCCATTTATCAGGCATGTGATGGGCTGGTGTGGAAACACTGTTCAGTTATCAGACATGTGATTGGCTGGTGTGAAAACACTATTCAGTTATCAGACATGTGATTGGCTGGTGTGAAAACACTATCCATTTATCAGGCATGTGATTGGCTGGTGTGAAAACACTATCCATTTATCAGGCATGTGATTGGCTGGTGTGAAAACACTATTCAGTTATCAGACATGTGATTGGCTGGTGTGAAAACACTATCCAGTTATCAGGCATGTGATTGGCTGGTGTGAAAACACTATCCAGTTATCAGAAATGTGATTGGCTGGTGTGAAAACACTATCCAGTTATCAGACATGTGATTGGCCAATGTGAAAACACTATCCAGTTATCAAACATGTGATTGGCTGGTGTGAAAACACTATCCAGTTATCAGAAATGTGATTGGCTGGTGTGAAAACACTATCCAGTTATCAGAAATGTGATTGGCTGGTGTGAAAACACTATCCAGTTATCAGAAATGTGATTGGCTGGTGTGAAAACACTATCCAGTTATCAGACATGTGATTGGCCAATGTGAAAACACTATCCAGTTATCAAACATGTGATTGGCTAGTGTGAAAACACTATCCAGTTATCAGACATGTGATTGGCCAATGTGAAAACACTATCCAGTTATCAAACATGTGATTGGCTGGTGTGAAAACACTATCCAGTTATCAGAAATGTGATTGGCTGGTGTGAAAACACTATCCAGTTATCAAACATGTGATTGGCTGGTGTGAAAACACTATCCAGTTATCAGAAATGTGATTGGCTGGTGTGAAAACACTATCCAGTTATCAGAAATGTGATTGGCTGGTGTGAAAACACTTTCCAGTTATCAGAAATGTGATTGGCTGGTGTGAAAACACTATCCAGTTATCAGAAATGTGATTGGCTAGTGTGAAAACACTATCCAGTTATCAGACATATGATTGGCCAATGTGAAAACACAATTCAATCACCAGACATGTTATAACATAGTCCAATAAAATTAAGCAGTGTGCTAATTTTTATACACAGATAGTTTACCAAAATATAATCATGTATTACATAGTTCTTTCAGTTACATGATAATACTATTAAGTAGACTGTAAACCAAGCTGGTACTATGTGCAGTGTAATGATAAAAAAAATAGCTGGCATTATTCAATATTTTTGTAGTTGAACAAATGGGGTTCAGATTACTCAATTTAAATCAAATAACTATTGTATTGACTATGTGTACATTTCATCTGAATGAATTTGCGGTACAGCTGAGAATGACGTGTTGCGCCATAAGTTGGTCCTTAGTTCTATTGTGAGTATAATGATTGATAACAAGTGTAATTGAAACGAGTTACAATAAGTTTTGTACATAAAAAAAAAACTGGTTTTACTTTGTATTAGTTGAATTAATTAGTCGAAAATAAAAGTGTTTAATTTAGCAGAAAGTAAAATAAGCAGTATAAAGCACATATGTAACAGTCCAGCCAAAAATGACAAACGAGCTGTACAAACATCTGATTACAGTATCACATATTGTGAGAAAACACCATATTTGTTTTATGTTAATTTGTCACTTTGAATCTTATCATTGAAACTGCCAACACATATGAACTTTGACCTAAATACTTTGAATGAATTCAAAAACATCAAAATGTGATAAATATTTTATTATAAATAAAAAAAATATCAATTTTATACTTGCATATATGACATTTGACCTCAATAATATATGCAATACCATGCATCTCACATGAATCAAAGAAACCATGCCATGCAAAACATTCAGAAAATTAAATTGTATAAAAAAGACATAAAGTCAATTTCTGAGGGATTAGTTCCTTCCAAGACATTTCTTATAATAAAATAAAAATTGGTCATTTCCTGTTCTTACATGCACACATGCCCATGCTATTGACAATTTTCTTGTTTCTATGCTACCATGTGAACAATACGTACAACAGAAAGGGGGCTGAATATTTCATACCATCACAAATTCTTTTCAACAAAGTTTGTTGACAATAATAAATTGTCTGTATCAAATAGACTTGAAATGCAAAAAAAAAAAGAATTGGTTTAAATGGAAATTCCATTTTTATATTATACACAAATAGAACTTTTAATCGTTTTTGTCAATTTCAGAATGTAAAACATGTGATGGCTGGGAACACTATTCTACCTGACAAGATTAGATTTAATTTTTGTACTGTGCTTCAAATCATTTCACTCACAGTCAACAAAAAGTAATCAAAACAGAACAAGAAAAATTTGCATCAAATTGGTATTTTTATCTTTGGGGAAAACCAAATTGTATTAGCCTGGTGAAATCACCTCAATTTTATTAGCGAGTAGAATTGACAAAGGTAGTCATAGCAACAAGAAAACTAATTTATTGTACATGCCAATTACTAAAAAAACCAGGCCCATTTCATAAACACAAAAAATAGTTAAAAACATCCAAACAGGAATGTTATAGTAATTTTGAACAATATTTCGATACATACATAAAGAGGCCGATGGGAAGCTGAGCT